AAAAAAAAAAAAAAAAAAAAGTTGGGGCTGCCGCAGCCCCGTTTGTCAGAGCGGTGTCAGAAAAAAAAAAAAAAAAAAAAGGATGAGGCGGCGCGGCCAATCAGCGGCCGCGGCCGGCGGGGCCGGGGGCAGCGACGCGGGGAAGGGGGAGCCGGGCCCGGCCAATGCGCGCCCACGTCCGCCCGCACGGCGCTCCGCCCCCGGCTCCCATTCATCAAGGGGGGGGACGGTGTCGTCTTTTCAATTCATTTATCTGCAGGAATGATTGCCGCTATCAGTCTCGCGTTCACCGCCCGGCTGAGGAGGTGAAAGTTTCTCCCCAGGAAGATAAACCGCAAAAGACAATATTGTGCATGATTTGCGCCTTTTTTTTGCGGAGCGAAAAAAAAAAAAAAAAAAGGCCCCCCGAAAAAAAAAAAATCGGGTGAGTGTGGGGAAGCTCGAAGAGGAGAGAGAAACAATCTCTCGTCCACTTTGCAACATTCCTATAGCCAAAAAAATCACTGAAGGAAGTTTCTTTTTTGTTTTGGTTTTTTTTTAATTTTTTTTTTTTTGCTGCCTGTGTTGAACTCTCGCCGTTATTGTTATTTGCAGCCAGTTTATTTTTGAGCTCACCCAACCCCCCTCTCCCCACTTAAACCTCCCTGAAAAGTCAAAGCAGAGAGACAGTGAATATTTTTGGGGCACGTTTTTATTATTATTATTATTTGCAACTGCGAAGATCTCTTCCCCCGTTCCGCACCAGCCTTTTTTTTTTTTTTTTTTTCCATTTTTTTTCCTTCCCCCTGCGCTGATGCCGAAGGGGGTGTTTTTGATGTGGTTGCTTTGGTGGTGATCGTCGCTGACTTTCCAAAGAGGGTGTTTTCGCTGCCGCTGCTGCTGCTGCTGCTTCTCTCCGCGTTGTGTGTGTGCGCGCGTGCTTTTTTTTTGGTTGCTGCATCGACGCTGGGAAGATGCTTCTGGATGCTGGACCGCAGTATCCCGCCATAGGAGTCACTACCTTCGGATCCTCTCGCCACCACTCCACGGCCGATGTCACGGACAGAGAAGTGGGGCTGGGGATCAACCCCTTCGCCGACGGCATGGGCGCCTTCAAAATCAACCCCAGCACCCACGAGCTGGCCTCGGCCGGCCAGACCGCCTTCACCTCGCAGGCTCCCGGCTACGCGGCGGCGGCCCTGGGGCACCACCACCACCCGACCCATGTCAGCTCCTATTCCAGCGCCGCCTTCAACTCCACCCGGGACTTTCTGTTCCGCAACCGCGGCTTCGGGGAGGCGGCGGCCGCCAGCGCCCAGCACAGCCTCTTCGCCTCCGCTGCCGGCAGCTTCGCCGGACCCCACGGACACACAGATGCCGCGGGACATATACTTTTCCCGGGGCTGCACGAACAAGCCACCAGCCACGCTTCGCCTAACGTGGTGAACGGGCAGATGCGCCTGGGCTTCTCCGGAGACATGTACGGCAGACCCGACCAGTACGGCCAGGTCACCAGCCCGCGCTCCGAGCACTACGCCTCGACCCAGCTGCACGGCTACGGCCACATGAACATGAACATGGCAGCCCACCACGGGGCAGGGGCCTTCTTTCGTTACATGAGGCAGCCCATCAAACAGGAACTCATCTGTAAGTGGATTGAGCCCGAGCAATTGTCAAACCCCAAAAAGTCCTGCAACAAAACTTTCAGCACGATGCACGAGCTGGTGACTCATGTCACGGTGGAGCACGTTGGAGGACCCGAGCAGTCCAATCACATATGTTTCTGGGAAGAGTGTCCAAGAGAAGGGAAACCTTTCAAGGCCAAATATAAACTTGTAAATCACATCAGAGTCCACACAGGTGAAAAACCTTTCCCCTGCCCTTTCCCAGGCTGTGGCAAAGTGTTTGCCAGATCAGAGAATCTCAAAATACACAAAAGAACTCATACAGGTACGGTAACCTTCTCTGTCGCTTTTCTCTCTGCGAGTGGAAGCGCCGAGCGCCGGGGCCAGAGCGGGACGCGGGGCCGTGCCGGAGGGGTTGGGGGCCGGCTTGGCTGAGGCTCGCACGGGGAGGAGGGGGTTTGGTCCAGGAACCACTGCTTTTTTTCCGGGAGAGGCCGGCTCGGAGCTCCTCTGCAAAACGAGCTCGGTCACAGCCACGCCAGCAGCAGCAGCAACAAAAAGAAAATGATCCCTGCCGAGGCAGAGGGGGAGGACGGCAGGGTTTGCTGCTGGGATTGTTAGGGCGGAGGGGGTGGGGTGGGGGATCGCAGCAACCTGTCCTGTTTAAATTTATAGGTTTTAATTAATTATTGTTCGGCAGTTTTGGCTGTGGCACGATGAGAAATTGTGCTAAATGTTGCAGGCAGCTCATTCGTCTCCTCTCTGCAATTCAGGGCTTGGTAAATATTTAATTCCGTTGAGCGATATTAAACAAACCGAGCCCGGCGCGTTACTGTGTTATTGTTGTGCGGAGGGGAGGCGCCGGTATTCCCGAGAACTTTTTCCTTCGTGGGAGGTGGGAACGGAGCAGCTTCTGGCCGGGAGAGCGATCTCCCCTCGCTCCAACCCCTGAACGCTGAAAGCCAGAGCCGCTTTCCCTAGCGCTTTTGCCGAGGGTTTGTGGAGCTGCCCTCTCGTTGATTTCCCAGACCGGATAATTTTCAATGTTATTTCAAGAAAATATGGGGGAGGGGGCTGGGGAGGTGGGGGAGGTGAAAGAGTAAAATATTACGAGAACGAGCTATAAAATCGGAAACCAGACGCTGAGGATCGTGTGTAATATCCCACCACGCCTGCTCTCTCGCTCGGAGCGTTGTGAAGAGGGAGAAGTGCCCGGGACTGGGGTTGAAAGGAAACTCGCTTCTCCAAGGGGAAAGGGGAAAAAAAAAAGTTATTTAGCTCCCCTGCTTTCCGAAACGGGCGCTTTGCAGGAGTCGGAGGTCCGGAAAGGATAGAGACTAGAAGCAAGGTTTTGGGATTTGAGCCGCGCTGAAGTTAGAAAGTTGCAAGTGTTTGAAATGGAGCCCTGAGCTCCGTCCGGCGGTGCGGTGACAATGAGCGATCCAGCCGGCCCTGCTTAATCAGATCCCTTTCCCCCCCACCTCCCCCTTCCCTCTGCAATAGGTGAAAAACCATTTAAGTGTGAGTTCGAGGGCTGTGACAGGCGCTTTGCAAACAGCAGCGACCGCAAAAAGCACATGCATGTGCACACTTCCGACAAGCCCTATCTCTGCAAAATGTGCGACAAGTCCTACACGCACCCCAGCTCCCTCCGAAAGCACATGAAGGTAAATGGAGGGCGCCTGGCGTGCGGGCCTGCCCGGGCGGAGGGCGGCGGGGCCGGCGCGGCCGTGCCTGCGGCGGAGCGCGGCCCGGGGCCGGCCGGCGGCGGGGCCCCGGCTCCGGGCCCGCCGGGCCGCGCTCAGCCCCGGGCCCGGCCCCGCCGCGGGGCCTTCGGGCGGCGCGGTGCAGCCGGGGAGGGGCAGGGAGGCAGCCAGGACGCAGCCGGGGGGCGCAGTCCGGCCTCGCCCGGCGGGCAGGGGCCGGGGCTGGAGCCGGGGCCGCCGGGGAGCCCCGCTGGGGAGCCGAGCCCGGGGCCCGCCGCTGGCTCCCCTCGTCTGGCGCATCCCCGGGCGAAGGCCTCCGTCCGCCGCCGCTCTCTATCTCTGCCCGGGTTTTCTCTTGCAGGTCCATGAATCATCCTCGCAGGGGTCCCAGCCTTCTCCCGCCGCCAGCTCAGGCTACGAGTCCTCCACCCCTCCAACCATCGTGTCTCCATCCACAGAAAACCAGACTGCCAGCTCCTTATCCCCTTCCTCCTCCGCAGTCCATCACACGTCCAGCCACAGCACGCTTACATCAAATTTTAACGAATGGTACGTCTAAAACGCTAAAACAAAACAACAACAACAACAACAAAACACAAACCGAAACAAACAAAAAAAAAAAGCCCCAAGCGAGCAAATACATACCCTATTTAAAGACTCCAAAATAATGGACACTCTGAAATCAAAATTTAAATGATCAAACAAAACTAAAAGGCTGCCAGTAGACCCAGGACTGAGTAAAATGAAGACTTAATTTTTAAAAATATTTTTTCTTTTTTTCTGTCCTCCATTATCTCTCTCTCTCTCTTTTTAAATTTTTAATTGTTTTTTCTTTACTTTTTTTTTTTTTTTTTTTTTTTTTTTTTTTTTTTTTTTTAAGGCTTGGTAGGCGAAGGGGTTAGTAGAATGCATNTTTTTTTTTTTTTTTTCTCCTGACTGTTGTGCTCTGTTCCAAGGCTTGGTAGGCGAAGGGGTTAGTAGAATGCATAAGAAGACAAGGTTACCAGGGCAAATGCCAACTGTGTAGGGCTTCACTGGAAACCACTGATTAGAGATCGCCAACTGCATGTCTGCTCGGGCAGCGGCCTTCCCCCCCCATCCCCTCTTGTAAATACAGAATTATTAGCATCAAAAACAAAACAACAAAAAAAGTGTACTGTTTGATTTTGTAAATAGTTATATCGCAAGTTGAATAAGGGGATATGTGGATTTGTGGTCTTTGCATATATGTGGGGGGAGGGGCGGGCGGGCGGGAGCGGCGGCGGGGGGGCGGAGGTGGTGGGGGGGCAGAGGGAAGAGGTAGAAATTCAACTATTTGTACTGAATGGCAAGAATGTTCTAGTAAATGTGTATCAAAATGTGAATTACTTTGTATTATTACAGTCTAAACGTCGATCTAACAGAATATTATTGGTATTAATGTGCTTTTTTGTATAAAGTGCAACATTTCGTCCCAAAGTCCAGTCTAAGTAGTGCAGTAAAATGTTGTTACACGTCCTGTCAAGAAATTCGTATAGTGAAAGCCTGGATCTGCGTGTCAAACTGTTACATTTGTTTATGTAAAGTGATATTAAAAAAAAAAAAAGATATAAACTATATCTGTCCGTTGCTTTTGGCAAATACAAGAACATAATGTATATAAATCCTAATTTCCATATTTATCCGCATGTAAAGGTCCGGTTATACCTGTTACAAGATATTCAATATTTATGGCTAGAAGAATTGGTATGTAAAATTTAGTTTACAGAACTGTTTGGTAACATTTCGTACCTTATTAAAGATTCTTAAATCCCAAGAATTGTGGTAGGAATTCTTATTCACTAAGTCAACCTGCTACAACTCCTACTAGCTTTAGGATATTAGAATAAAACTGTCCCAGTTTTTCACTGCTTTCCATTATGTCATCACTAAAGCAGCGAAGGTGATATAAATGTGATAAATGAAAGGATCCCTGCTGGCATTACTATAGTGTGTAATTAGTATTTATATCAAAATTTATGAAACAAATTTTCGGCCGCAGTATAATTTAAATGACCTTTGCAGACATAGAATAACAACCATAAAAATAACAGAAATAGATTGCATATGCTACATAAATATTAATGTGGGGAATTGTTACATGAGAAGTGCTGCATTCCAGTCCAACACTGTCCATGAATCTGCATAGACTGGGTCCCTAAATTAAATTAATTCAGATAACATATATTAGGAGATTTAAAACAGAGGAGATTTCGGTTGCTATTTTAATTTAAGGCATTTATGACCATAACTAATTCTTAGGTAGTGGATTCATGACTTTCCTTGGGCCTTTTACTCCAAGAAGTACAGCACTGTTTCACGAAGGCCGTTGTTGTTGTTGTGTGTATTCTTATTTGGTTTTTTCTTTTTTTTTTCTTTGCTGATATTCCTTAAAACGTGATGTTAATTTAAATCAATTACTTCTTATGTTATGTTATTATTATTACTATAATTTTGCTAGTGTTAATAGCTTTCTAAAAAAATAAATGTAGGGCATAAGAATTATTTTATGTAATTTGATTATCTTTCTATCTCTTTTATTTATTTCTCATTTACTTAAGAAATTCGTTCCATTGGCTGGCGTTGATACAGTAAATTTGTAAATGAGAAGACAATATAAAAAATCTAAATTACTTGTGCTTAATGACTGTAGCAGAACGCCTTTTCTCTAAATCAGATTGTCTTCCTTGCAGTTTAGTTTGATAGATTTGCAAGCTGTACTGCTTCCACTAACTTAGCTACGGTTGTTGGAACTGTTGGGCTTTGTTCCTGGTTGTAGCTTGCATGATCGCCCCATTAAGCAGACAACATATCAACAGACAACACAAATCATGAGGTTGGCTAAAGCTGCGAGGGCTTGTGATATGTCATAGAGTGAATTGCACAAACTGACCTTCCAGTAGACCAAGATGACACTTTAACAGCTTCTTTAAAGAAATATTATGTGTACAGCGAGTCAATAGCCATATTAACCGCTCGGGGGGCGGGGGTGCGGGGGAAGCCGCTCTCCCCTCACATTCGTGCGGGCGCTCCGCAGCCCCGGCGGTAACCCGCCCAGAGCACAGCCCTGGCTCTCAGCAGCCCTCCTCGAGGATATTTCTTTGTCCGTAACATTTGGGGATCTCCCTCGGAGACTTTCCCCTGCTCGAGAGCATACGCCTCACACCCCACCCCTCCAAAAAAAAAAAAAAAAAAAAAAAAAAAAAAAAAAAAAAAGAAAGTTTGTCTAGTTTGTCTTGCTCATCCGAAGCCCCACTCCTGCCAGTTCGGCATCGCCGCCTGCTCCCTGCAGCACCCGTGGGAAGGCTTTGCTTTAACTTTACTTTTTACAAAATGTTATTATTGTAAGGCTAATACCAGTTTTCAATGAAAAGAGCGCCACCTTGCAGGGTTTGGCGAGATAGGAAAAGTTGGAGCCCGGTGGGACCGGGGCAGAAAGTGTTGGGACTTGAGGAAATGTAGCCCACCGGGCAAAAGAACCGGAGGGGAAAGTGTTTCACGCGCCGAAAATGTTGCTTGTTGCGAATCTTTCAGGGTAACTGTCTCGGCGATTTTACCGGGCATGGTTTGTAAAAAATGTAACCTGGCTGTATCTAAGAAAAAAAAGAATCGTTGAGCTCGTCTGACCCACCCATGTGTAAAGTAAACCCGGAGAAACGTGGTGAGGGTGAGATATTTTAAAGATGCGTATTGCAACTTTCTTTGAACTTGTGTAAAGTCCCTAGTGGTCGGTTAACACAGATCTGTTACTTGTGTGTATTGGAACACTTGGCTAATGAGTATTCTTTTAAACTTTCAGTCTGAGGTTTGTTTGAGTGTCCTACAGCAGAAAGGATGATTCTAATGGTGTTGCTGCTGCTGTAGGTTTTTTATCTGGGGTGAGGGGGAACTGTGCGATGCTGGTTGATCTCCATCCCGTGTATGTTCTGAATTAGCGACGATCACTGGGGCTGGAATTGTTAATGCTGAATTCAAGTCCACGCCATGCTGGTGCTTGTGCTATTCGCTTGGCTCTGGAGAGAGGAGCAGTGCTTTGAAATCCCCGGCAGAGAGAGAGATGTTTTTTCAGGCAGAGAGGTTGTGAGGTTTCTTTCGGGGGTTTCTGCACTGTTTTAGTCCCTAAAGTCAACTTTCCTCTAGCAAGGCTCCCTTTGCGGATTTACTCACGAAGGCTTGCGAGGAGAAGCACCGACCCCAGCTCTCCAGCCTCAACGGGGGCCATCACTTTCTTTCCGATGTCTGGCTCTGGAGATGGTGTCGCGGTACTTTTCCTGCGTGGGAAAAGTAGATTTTTCAGCCCATGGCAGGCCGTGCCGACGGCCCCGCGCCGCTCCGCGCTGCCTGCTCCGGGGTAGACAAAACGCTTAGGTCCGATGTGTGCCGTCCACAGCCTCCCGCGCCCGCGGAGGCTCCCGCCGCCCGGGGGAGTGTTTGAAGATACCCAAAGCAGGACGGCAGTGCCGGCGGGGAGAGTGCAGGAGGCTGTTCGGCTGGGTGTGTGTGGAGGGCTGTGCGTGCTGGCCTCTCTGTGGTGGCAACCCCCGGCCGTGCTTGTGCCGTTTGCACGCAGAAAGTTAAATGCAAAACAATCATCAGGCGCTTCCACTTCCCCCGCGAAAGACTCGCCTTTCAGGTCGCTTTAATGGTTTGTGAGTGATCGCTTGAATTTATTAAAAGGCAAGTCCGGCATTCATAAGGAAAAGTTAGCTTCTTTAGTCCACACACAATGTTTGTAATGGGGACACCCGCTCCGCGCTGGCCTCGTCTGGTTATCGCCCTTCTTTTAGCCGTGAGGAAGCAGCAGTCCCTGGACTGATGCACGGAGCATCGACGCTTTTATTTACTGTTTTTCTGGCCACGATAGTAAACGGCTCTGACTCTGTAAGTTTTCCTGTGTCCAGAGCCCTCACTCTTCTCGCAGCAACTTTTAAAGGGAGGGAGCAGCGAGCCGGGCCGCGGACCGGGCAGGGGCGGCGGGCGCGCAGGAGCCCCGCTGCACGCCCGGGGCCGCAGGAGCCCCGGCGCGGCCGGCGCGGAGCCAGAGCCCCGCTGCTAAGCCCGCTTCCAGCAGGCAGGACAGGGAAGGAGATTCCCTCTGGAAAGGGTAGAGTGTGTCAAGCGACCTGACGCTAAAAGAACTCGTGTGGGTTTTGCCGCTGGAGCTCAGAGGGAGAGGAATTCGTGAGCGATACGCCCACGGAGGAGGCTGTGCAGGTACCAGGCACGCCGTGCATCACCATTACAAAGTTTCCATCTGCATTCGCACACGCACGCACCCCTTTCGCACCCGCAGCACGCCCGCGAAGCCGCCCACGGCTGTGGCCGCCCGTGGCTGGGACGCGCCCGCCGCCCCACGCACACGTGCGCGCCGGGCACCTCGAGATGAGGGCTCGATCCCCGCGGTCAGCGCCGCGCTCCCGCGGGAACCAACACATTTTCCTCCAAAGGTGCCTGGGATTCCCTGCCGAGCGGGGCTTTGCTGCCGGGGAGAGGCCGGGGAAGGCGGAGAGGCCCGGCCGGGGCCCAGCGCGGCCGCGCAGCCCGGCCTGCGGAGCGGCTCCGCGGCGCGGGGGTCCCGTGGCGGGCACGGACGTTGCCTGTGCTGTGGCTACAACCGCCGGGACACACGGCCACTGCCGCAGATGCACACAAGCTCACCGAAATCACCGCTCCAGTTGCTGATTGTAGTACAAATATGTCCGTATCTGTACATTACCTCTCTCTCTGTCTACATTTGTACGTAAAGAAAGAACGGTATTTCTAGAAAGACACACGTTCATGTGTTTACACGGAAGTATATTTTCGAAGGCTCACAGAAGCTCAATGCAAATGTACTGTACAACGGGTAGTATTTGTAATAAAATGGGTGTAATTTCCAAATTTACCCACAAAGATTAATAATTGAGATTCCTATTTTGAATGAGGGGCAGGTCTGATTTCCTGAACCTGCTGAACGTATGAAGATGAGTTCCATTTCACCGGAAATATACTGCTTTTTAAGGAGCATTGTTTATTAAAAATGGCCAAGGTTTTTGTTTTGTATAATTTTTTTTTTCCTTCTGCGATCGTCTATGGGTCAGATTTGGTTCATCTTCGATAACATGAAACACGATTCTGTGAAGCGAAGGGGCTATTTTTATCATGCAGCTGGAAGCTGTCATCAATTCGTAACATTTATTTCGGCTTTAGAACGATAGTATAAAATAGCATGAAGTTTCCAGATGACGCCCGTACTGCAGACAGGATTTTTCAAGTATAATAAATCAAATTAATTACCTTTTAGATATATATTATCATAGTACCTCTCTATGAAACTGCTATTAAAAAAATGCTCGATGTGCGCATCTGTGATTGTGCATGTGTTTACATCTGGGGACCCAAACACAGAATTAGCTGTCTGGGGTAGCTGCAGCGAGGGTGCAGGATAAATGGGGCACACTCAATCCCGAATCTTCACGTGCTGCTTGTCGAGAGCTGGGCACAGCTTTGCTTAGCAAAAATAAGAAATTTGTGTTTTGGCACGAGGCAGAACTGTAAGATCCTCTAGGACCTTTTTCACTTCCAAAAATCCCGTGAGGATATATGACAAAAGAGTGAAGAAAAGATAAGCCCGGGAAAATACCCCCACATCAGCAAGCTTCCCCCCGCCAGGCCATGTGTTTTGTGCTTGATGTTGCCTCTTTCGGGGGCCGGGGGGCAGCCGGAAGGTTCAGGACTGACCACCTGGGGACGGTTCCTGGAAGCCGCGGCTGTGCGTGGGGGCGGTGCGTGTCCGTGGGGTGTGTGTGTATTTGTGTGAGCGCTCTGTGTGTGAGTACCGTGTGTGTGAGTGCTCTGTGCGTGTCAGTGTGATGTGTGCGTTTGTGTGAGTACTCTGTGTGTAAGTGCCGTGTGTGTAAGTGCTCTGTGAGTGTGAGTGCCCTGTGCATGTCAGTGGGGTGTGTGTGTTTGTGTGAGTAGCCTGTGTCTGCTGTGTGTGTAAGTGCTCTGTGAGTGTGAGTGAGTGCCCCGTGCGTGTCAGTGGGGTGTGTCTGTATTTGTGTGAGCACTCTGTGTGTGTGAGTGATGTGGATGCGTGTGTGCATCTGCACGTGTGTGATGCGTGCGTGAGCGCTGTGTGAGCGTGTGAGTGCTCCGCACGAGTTCCGTGTGTGTGATGTGCGTCTGGCTGTGTCTGTACGTCTGTCTGTGTGTCTGTCTGTGTGTGTGTGTGTGTGTGTGTATGTGTGTGTGTGTGAGCACCCGCCGAGCGCCCCGGCGGCAGCCCCGGCGGCGCATGCGCGCCCGCGGCGCGGCTGCACGTGCTGTTGAATATTTATGACGCGGCTCCGCCGCCCGCGGAAGGCGCCCGCGCCCGCCCCGCGCCCGCGCGCGGCAGCGCCGCCGCCGCACGTGCTGCCCGCCCGCCCCGCGCCCGCCCCGCGCCCGCCCGGCCCGGCCCGGCTCGGCCCGGCCCGGCCCGGCCCGCCCGGGGCTGCCCCCGCCGCGCCGTGCCCGCGCCGCGCGGCGATGCGCCCGGGCAGCGCTTTCAGCCTCCCCCTGCACGCTGGGCGAACGCGACCTCCCTCCTTTAGCGGGCTCCTCAGCGACCCCCGGGCCCCTCCTCACGGCCGTTCTCAGCGCCGGCAGCCGCCGGCCGAGCGGCTTTTCGTGGGCTTATGTGTCAAAACGCGACGGGTACAGTCACCAGGAGAGAACCGTCTCTGGGGAAGGGAGAAAGGTTCTTGTAATGGATTCCTTTCTGTCTCGCTCCTCTTAAGAAAACCTCATCATACTGTATGGCCCATCATATTTTATTGCTGATATATCGACATCGCATGATAGATCCGAGGAAGAAATACAGGCTCTTGGCATTTATTCCTTTGTAGACTGTAGGTTTTTAATTTTTTATTTTATTTTTAACAAATAGTAGTAATTCCCAGTACTCATTGTTCAGCGGCACAAAGTGATTTTAAAGGCTTTTGTACGGTGGCAAAATAACATCCCATATTATCGGAAATGTGTTTTCTGTATCTTGGTAATGACGTGGATTTTTCTTTCCCCTGAGCCCGGTGGGGAGCGGGCAGGATGGAGGCAGGAGCCCTCGGAACCCGGGCGGGCTCCCGGGCGCACCTGGGCACTTGCCCCGGCCCGGGCACAGCCGCGTCCGCACGGCCCGGCCCAGCACCCACGAAGTTCCCAGAAAGGCCCTTCCCGGTGGAGCCAGGCTGACTGGAAATCGCCCAGCGACAATTCCCTCTCCGTAGCCTCTCTGTCCCTTTCCCCCCTCCGCCATAGCCCACCTCTCTCCATTGCCCCCTCTCCCCTCCTTGCCCGGCGCTGCAGATGAACGCGCTCCCGAAGGTGTGCGCGCCTGGGCTGGGTTGTGGAATCCTCTCCGGCCAACACCTGGAGTGCCTGTGTCCCCCTCCCCGCATGGCTGAGGTTCCCTGCACTCCCCAGCCGACTACAAGGGGCGACAATAAAGCCGATGTCCATCATGTCGCCTTTTCATTTCAGAAAGGGCAGATCCTGACCTCAGTTCCCCAAGTGGAAGCTTGTCTTGGGCACTCACTGTTGTCATCATTTGCTCCAACATTTAAACAGATGAGTATTCGTACATATTTTCTCCCTGCTTTCCATCCAGGCTTTTTTCTTTCTTCCATTTTCCCCCTTAGCCGAAGGGGAAGCTCCGGTAATTGCGGGGGAGCGGGAACGGCGTTCAGGCGGACAGTGGCACCCGGGCACACACCTGAGCCGCATGCCCACGCCTTCGCGTGGGAATCCGCTCCCATCATTTAGCTCCCAAGAAAACTGTTGATCTCTAAGTGTGAGCCTGAGCCTTTGCATTTAGTGCTCATGGCTGCTTCGTTTCCTCCCTCCCCCCAGCCCTTTCCCCTCCAGCTTCGTCCCTCTGTTGTGCTTCCAGAGATAACCAGGTCCCCCCGGTGGGCTGGGGCAGCCGCGGGGCGCGGGCGTCTGCGCCAGGACGGGACCGCGCAGCGCTCGCTGCGGGGGCAGAGGAGGGGGACGTGCCCTCGCTTCTCAGCCAACTGGACAAGAATGGGTTCTATTATTATTGTTGTTGTTGCTTTTTCTGTTAGTAATATTATTGTTATTGGTATTGTTGTTGTAACTATTATATTAATTTAAAAACTATCCCTTTGCAACTTGCAAAGCGACTGTAAATGTACCTTAAACCTGCTTTTTTTCCCTAGCCAATGGTGTCAGGGGCCGGCTAGCCTGTCCCTCCGGAGCATTAACCCTTGTCGCTAGCTGGAGTGAGTGAGAAGCTGAGGTTTGGCCCTGAGGAGCCGTGTGTGTAGATCTGGCACAGCTTTGCTCCCTTAACTCCTGGATCTTTGTTTTGGTGGCGACCAGGGAGAGCAGGGAGCGCTGTGCTCGCATTTCCCTCTGGCTTTTACACACGCACACACACACACACACACACACACACACACACACACAAATCCCCCTTTCCAACTTTCTGCTTTTTGCGCTTCCCTTCCAGTTTTTTCACTTCTCAGACCTACTGGCAGCATTTGCCGAGATCTAGATCCCCGTCGTGGTAAGTGATGCTTTTCTCCATTGCAAAACTTGCTCAGCTTTCGCCTAGCTGTCCCAGGGATGGGTGTAGAAAGTTGTATTTGTTTGGAGCAGAATTGCCCAACCCCAGTGGTTTCACGTCAAGCAGCACAGAGTAAAACTATTGTCGTGTATTAACTCTGAATGGGAGCAAACAGACCAAATAATCACTGCTGGCTCTGACAGTAGCACGGCACTAATGTAATTCTTTTTAAGTTTGCAAAGCAACTTTTTTTTTCTTTTTCTTTTTTTTTTTTTTTGGTTGTTGTGGGGAAAACGAGCCTGTGTTTTCGGTCGGAACTTATATATTTACATTACACACCAGATCATAACAAACTATACAAAGAATGCAGCTGCCACATGTGCTTTGTGAACATACAATTATGATTGGGGGGCTCAAGCATTCAACTTAAGTGTTGCAGACACACTGATACCATTCTGCAAGGTTCGTGCAGTACCTGAAAACTCACTCCATCTTT